ACCTGATTGAAAAAGATTATTTTTGAGAAAAGCGATTAAGATTAAGATATAAGTTGCTTTTATAGAGAAGTTTTTATGGTAATAGTTTTCAACTTAGTTGTATTCAGAATACTACGCTGGAAACTGTCGATGATGCCACAACGATTCGATATATAATTAATAATTCTAGCTATAATTCGTGCGTTTGTTCATTTCTGAAAAATGACTCTGTTGCATTCAATTACTATTCTACCAGAAAAACATGCATTCTATTTCAAAATTATTCACCAAACAACTATTCATATTCAATGGTATCAAATTCGTTATCGAAATATTGTTTTACTCAATTGCCCATAATCGGAAAAGTACAGCTTAACCCAAGTATGTATTGTTTCAATGAGATTTAGCAGTTCTTGTTTGAGAATTCTTCGATCGGTTATCGGTTCATTTCTGATTAGATCGATTCAGCCGATAATTATGCTGATAAAGGATGCTTTTACTACAGCCAATTTAAAGTTATCTGAATCTGATCCGACACTAATAGTAGTTTTAGTAATTAGGTCAGAGTGTAGATTAAAAATAATGCGAAGTATATTTCCAGCACGTTTTTGCTTGTAAAAGATGAAGCCAGAATTTGTACTAGCCTTCGAAGGAAAACATGTAGATCTACAGTTTTTGTCATTTATTCAATACTGTGTAATTATGTATGCTTACCCTCCCTAAATAGTGATACTGTAATCATCGCGAGACGTCGGGAAGTTTCACAAAATTAACGAATAAATCAGTCAATAAAGATGTAGTATTTTTAAAGAATGTACGGTGAGAATCACGTTTTGTTATTCTCTCTGTTTCAGCAGAATGAAAAATACACATTGTTTGAATAAGATTTTTAAATTATAGACGGAAAAAATGTCATTATCACCATATGCCCTTTAAGAATATCCCATACTTATAACTCTACAACTCGTTGATTTGATCAAACGGTTTGGTTGACTGTTCCGTTCATTCAACGTCTATCTTTACTACTGTATTTGCCTTGCCAGTCTTTCTTTCTCGTTATCAATAACAATTTACTTTCAGTATGTACATCACTAATCACGTTCGACGATGTTATTAGTACTCCTTCTTATGGTTCGATACCAAACAACTATTTCGGGTTCAATTGGACCAATGCAGGCGTTATGTACGGCTTAAACTATGGAGTTAATAGTGGATTTTTTACGGCTCAAACTAGTGGTCAATACGTATTATTCAACCGCTACGGTAACCCAGCGTCATTCAATAGAGCGATTCCATTCAGTGTAAATTCGTTTATTGTAGCTGCTGGATCCAACGATAACTTAATTTTTACTGTAAACGGTCTTCGTTCTAATACGATAATACGGAATAAAACTTTAAATCTTCAACCAATAACAACTACCTTCGTTACACTTGAGTGGACAAACATTGATATGCTAACATTGTCTACTTCCGGTGGAACTAGGCATCCAGGTTTTACTCTTAACAATATATATACATATTTTGCTATTGATGATTTATGCATAGGGAATTAATAATCAAAACGCGTTAATGAAAGATTACATCAGTTCTTTGGGGTGATAGCACTGTCGTCACATAGAAAAAAGAACTTTCGTCACACGAGACGAAAGTGTATGGCATTTTTGGGGGAGTACCACCCCACACATTGGTCACAAAAGTGGTGAACTTTCGTAACCAACATACCTACAGCTATCGTCACACCCCATCGCAGACTTTCGTCACGCTAATAATATAACGGAAAATAACGCGTTATAGCGTGTGACGGCAGTTCACGTGCATAACAACGCTTTATTTTGCCGTTTTTCTCACGTTTATAAACTACTCTTATTGACTGTAAAAGAACTGCTTGCATTTACACTATTCCAGACCAAACCGCTTCCACTGCTTCAGTGTGCCTAAATAGAGACCCTCGAAGGTGATGCTTCGGTATTGGATCATCATCGCATCAGTCTAAGCCAGTGAGATGAAACGGTTCTAAGATGGTACAAGAACATGAACCTCGATGATGACATAAGACAGTGAGGGTGAGGGTGACAAGGATAGCACACACACTCTATAATACAAAACACGCACATATATATATTAACCTGTTACATCATTTCTAGAAAAGAAGCCTGATGCAATATCTCTTTGCATTACCACGTAACGACAGTGCGGGTGAGAGTGACAAGGATAGCAAACACCTTATATTAAACGTCGCACAGTAGACAATTTTGACTAGGCACGTGGACATGTGCCACATCATTCGATGCAGTTCAGCTGAATTTTCACTGTACCTTTTCCAGCGAATTATCATAGCTGGAATAAAAATGTTTTTGCCATTAAATAGCCCATATTCTGAAGTATATTGATCGCTATTTGGAACTTGAAAAAGCGCACTCTCAATTTTTCACATAATGTCTACGTGATTGTCTGTCGTGCGTCGGCCGCAACTATTTCTTGATTTTAAAACGGAATTGCAAAGTGAACAAAATGAATTACGCCGCTTTACGTTTTTACGGGGCGATGTTCAGGGATGTTCTCTTTAGGTAAGTTTCTATTCAGTTATGTGTCGAACAGAAACTCTAAGTCTGTTTATCAAAACGCGAAATATGGCATCCAACATAAAGAGAACTCCTGGTTCTCCGCCTGCGAGAGCAACCACATTCCTTTAATTTTCTCTGATTTTTCTCCGAAGAGCAGTTGACCCAAAGAAACAAAAAGGTTGGATTCACTTAACAAATAGAGAAGTTATGCTTGTTTCTTACTTTAACTGTTCGTAAAAATCGATGATAAAAATTTGAAAAGCTTATATTCAAATAGGATAAATCGCAGACCTTTGTTGAATATGCGAAATAATCAGGAATCTCTTGTAAACCAATATAATATACTAAACAGTACAACATCTCTTCTATGTATATTGTATTATATTATATATACTTTGCCGTGTACAACAATCAAATAGCACGTCTCATTTCAATTCGTCGAGCGCAACATTATTATAAAAAACTAATTTAATCATAATACATAAAATACGGTTTTTAGCTCGTGTACTTTGGGTACTGGAAAGAGATTAAAGCACGGATGCGATCAATCAATAGGTAAGATAAATGGCTAAAAAGCAGTTTTCTGTAATAAAAAATTGAGGATATAGTAGGAGAAATTGACTCAAAGAAAATAACGTGTACTGTATATTAACCTTTAGAGGTCTCGGTAGTGATAGGCCGTAAGACTCAAGAAGCGTTGATTTTCTAGTATCTGTTCTTTCGTATCTCGTGACCTGTACATGTAGAGTATAGGTCACGGGTGACGATAAAAGTAAAGAAAAGAGAAAACATAATGTGCGACGTTAAGGAAAATGTTTTTCTTACCGTACGAAACGAAGAAGCTACGTACATTACGCGAAATTCTTAAGTAAGTGAATCATCCCTAACGAAATAACGTAAGTGAGTCATTCTCAATATAATATAAAATTTCTTTCTTTCTGTTCACTTCATATTATTTCGTGTTTAGCGTAGTCATTTGTCCTATAATACTTAAGGGTACCCCCCCCCCTCTTTTTTGACCCTCTTGAAAACCGGGACGCCGATGTCGGATCGGGGTGAAATTTATAACAGAGATAGAACATCGAAAAAGAAAATCGAGGTATTTTTGCCCAGAATTTTGTGACGTGTTCTTCTATGGGTTTTCTAGAAAACTCTGGTTTTCATCCAGTCACATTACGACCCCTTGAAAAAATGGTCTGATCGAGCTCAAATTTTTACCACAGATACTTTAGGCCCTAGCTCAGGTTCGTTTTTTTTCTTTTCAAAAAATATGCTTTCCTTCTCGAGATATTCCAAAAATGCTGAAAGTCACGCAAGAAAACCTGTAAAGAAGGTTGGAATATTTCGTTGAACATTTTGTTGATTAAAATACACTTCTTAATAGTTGAAAACTATTACCATAAAAACTTCTCTATAAAAGCAACTTATATCTTAATCTTAATCGCTTTTCTCAAAAATAATCTTTTTCAATCAGGTGCGCTCTCACCTGAAGAAATTCTAGGTAAACCTATATTCTTTCACCTAAGTATGTTGCTTAACATCAGTTATTAGATTATTTTCAGTAACTAAAATACTTCAAGATTTCATTCGGTTTCGATGCTAGCACAAAGGCTCTCATCCTTCGGTCATCAATTTTGCTTTGCTAATATTTAAATGTTTTTCCAAAACATAGGTTAAATCAATTGCACCATTGTCTGTTACATCCATATTTCTCAGGTGTTTTCAATATTTTTAATCGACCGTTAATCTGTTCGTTCTAAGAAACTCACCAATAAATTAACCTTCACATAAATCAAATTCTGTTACAACTTATGCATTGATCAGGGCCCCGAGATAACGTTTATTTCCCAGTCATATGCCATTAATACAGAAACTCAAAATGCTAGACAATCCTCACTTGATGTTCCGACGGTTTTAATATAATTCGAACGTCTTTCACTTCAGAAACACTTTTCACTGACTTCAACCCGTCAGCCGCAGATCGAGTACCAGCTGAGCTGCTATCTCCTTGTTCGACGCTGTCAATACTTCCTTGGGATTTTCGTTGTTCAGTATTTGTTTTGCCTTCATATTTTTCCAGTTTTTGCTGACGGATCATGACAAAATAAGCAATACCAGCACCGGTTAAACACAATATAAGAATAATAATCATATTTTTTGTTGAAAACGTTGATGATCCTTCTTCGCTATTGTCAGAGTCTTCGTCAATCCGGCCACCTGGATCAGTTTCTCGACAATTCCAGTCGCATGTATGGTCCTGGAAACAATCTGGACATTTTGGACTTCCTATAGAAACAAAAATTTTGTAAAAGAATACAACCATTCAAAAGAGCTTCATACTTCGTATAACAGGTTGTGGTGCTTGCATTTGTTGTCCTAATATCGATACCTGATTGTGGTTATTTCCATATCCATTCATTTCCATTCCCATACCGCCCATTCCTCCCATTCCCATACCGCCCATTCCTCCCATTCCCATACCGCCCATTCCTCCCATTCCCATACCGCCCATTCCTCCCATCATACTACTCATCGCCATCATATTCATAGGATTAAATGAATTGCTGCCATCTTTTGAGCTTTTACTACCCATCCTTTTATTTTGTGCTGAGTTAATCTGAAATAAACAATAATAAAAAAAAATTTTGACTTAAGTAATAATAAAACTTATTTATTTTTTCATTTTATTTCGCGCGTACGTCTGTGCGTTCAAAGAGTTCAATTCATTTGTTTGCACCACAACATATATCATTTCTGGTTTTCAGTGCTAGATCGAGCTCAAGTATGATAAAGTCAACCGGGCCGGTAGAGACCGATATCTCATCGGTTGAAAATTTTAAAAAATCTCGTCCTTCAATCTTGTTTTTTCGTCCTAAAAATTAATGTTTTATGTCTTTCTCAGTCGGAATAGATAAGACGATGCTCAGCTACTAAACTTCAGGAATCATTTTAGAAAATTCCGTCAATGTCAAAGGCTGTTTCAATTGATGACTATCCATTGAAACAGCTAACACGTAGTCAAAGGATAGTGGAACGAAAGTCAATACATGAGTGAAGAGAAACATCGCTGTGGGCTCATACGCACGTTTTATCAATAGAAGAACTCTTCTCTTTCCTTCTTTCTTCTTTTGTTCCCTTGTCTCCCCTCCACTTGCGAAGAGACCGTTGCGAATCGTTTTTCTTATATTGTCTCACTGAGGAACTGAAAATAATCTGTCCAGCCCAAACATACGACATACGACTTTTAAAGTCGACGTGTCTTGCGTTTTGACGACTATAAATATATTTTTCACACATTTGCTTTAGATTTGATTTAATAGACTCGTCATGTGAAGTTTCACTGAAACCTCCCAAAATAGTTCATTCCTAGCGGAAATTTTCATCCAAAATCGATTATCTGAAAGATATTACCGGTTTTTCACCGGTTTAGGATTAAAGTCCAACCGGTCCGGTTACACGTTCAGACTGACCGGACCGGATCGTTTTTCAACCAGTTCCAGCTCTGTGCATAAGGCGTTTTTATTGTCAATAACAATCAAATTATTCATTTCCATAAGCAAAGAAACCTAACAAAAAACTTTAAAAAAGTTTTGAAAATTCTGTTAATTAAAATTTCAAAAAAATCGAAGCTGTGTTAAGGAGCCTTAAGTTATCCGTGAAATTAGTTTATTCCTCTGATTTAATCTACGTGCTGCTGTTATGATGTTTTTACTAAAAAGTTTCTCTGCACTCTATATGTTAACATGAATTAGTATCTATCGTAAAACTCATAGTGCATGTTACTGAGAACACAGTTGCTATGGCATATTTAGATGACATTGAAATGGCCAAATGGACAACCTTTTTATTGCCAGTTAAAGTTTATCTAGCTATTTTTTCTGATAGTCGGCATTGCCAAGCTCTTCAATTTAAAGGGTCATTCTGGCCTACCGTTTTCCAGTAATCAAGACTTATGTTGTAGTTTAGTAGCACGGTGCTTTCTATCTGTTAGTTTCACAACACTTTCGTCATCATGTGACGGTGAACTTTCGTCACATGATGACAAAAGTTCTGTTTTCAGAGACAAAAATTCCCCTTGCATGTGACAAAAGTTCTTTGAGCATGTGACGAAAGTTTAGCTATGTTTACATTGTGGTTACGAAAGTTAACCCCTTTTGTGACGAAAGTGTCTGGTTTTTCAGACAGGTCGGTACTTTCGTTACACATTGCGTGAAACGACTACAATAAAATCAAGGTTTGGTGCGAAGTTCATTAGTCCAAATTGTTGTAGTGCAAACTGGTGTGGTCCAAACTGTAGCAATGCAAATTGGAGTAATAACTTCTTGCTTTTTTCTTTACAAACATCGCATTATCTTAGCGAAACGCGTAAAACCCTTTTGAAGTCTTTTTCTAAAGTCAAAGTATCAAAATCGAGCGTCTATTGCGTTTGGAATTAGTTCGGTCTGAGGTGTCCACACTACAGCAGTACAAATTGGGGTAGTTGCTACAGTTTTGGGTTGTAACAAAAGTTGTAGGTATGTTACAAAGTTGGTTCCGAAAGTTCACCACTCTTGTGACCAAAATGTGGGGTGATACTCCCCCAAAACTACCATACACTTTCCTCACGTATGACGAAAGTTCTTTTTTCTTTATAACGAAAATTAACGTGACGAAAGTGCTATCACCCATCGGTTATACATCCAAAGTGCTCTAAACGATAGCAAAACGTCATGCTCAAGACAATCACGGTAACTAGCAATGTCAATGCTATACTTGGCGTTTATCTATAGAAGATAAATATATAGAAGAAATAGAGCTGTTCAAACGAGTATCACTAAACAAAGATATACATGGTTTCTCTGGAAAGCAAGTAGTTACAATCTATATCAACTATTTTCTTGATATAAATTAAAGTCAAACTATTTATTTTCTATATTAAAGAAATAGGTTATATGCAATGTAACTAGTCAAGCATGCATCAATAAGTTTTTGCTAAGAACACAAAATTTTTTATCATTATTCTACTTTTTTGCACTATGCAATGCCTTCGTGGTAAAAAAAATGTATCAGACCTTGCACGAAACATCTTTGATAAAGTTAAAAGTCAACGGGAAGAATCTAATGCCAATCATGAACAATCGAGCGAAGATTTCGAAATAGTTTGTCTTCACATAGATATAAATAATTATTCACATATTAAAGATTATTTATGCAAGATTGTCATCTCATTCAAAACATTTAATGATATCGACGGATGTGTTAAACATCTATCATCGGTCCAAAATAAAAAAATATTTCTAATCACTTCAAATATATTTGTTCTCAATATTTTACCACTTGTCTACAACATAGAACAACTTCAATACATATACGTGTACGATGGTGGAGAGGGTCATCGAATAGAGATTGAGGAAAAATATAAGAAAAAAATTAGTGATATATTCTATTCTGAAAATGCATTAGTTAACAAATTAGCTGATGATATTTCATCAAGTTTAAATTATATAGAAATTCCAATGTCAATCTTGTGCGCTGATGCCAGTCAAAAGCCAATTCATGATTTAGACGATGATAGTAAAACGTTTCTATGGCATCAATTTTTGTTTGATGCTCTACTTCATGTGCCATCACAATCGGATATAGTAGTGGAAACTATTATTGATCACTGTCGTATGGAATATTCCGAGGAAACAGAAGAATTTAAAAAAATTGAATATTTCTATCGAAATTATGATTCACGTGAGGCTTTATGGTGGTACACTCATGATACGTTTATATATCGGCAGCTAAATGCAGCAATGCGTTTGAAAGATTTGAACAAAATATTTTTATTTCGTGAGTTCATTATTGATATTCATACTCAACTGTTAAAGCTTCACTCCAATATGATAATGGCTGATAACGTCGATGAACGACGAGGAAATCAGTCTTTATTAACGATTTACAAAGCACAATATATGGAAGTTAATAAAGTACAAAATTTAGTTAAAAACATTGGAAATCTTTTATCTGTAGATACGTATTTGTTCACAACAAATGAGAAAAAAACTGCCATGTCATTTTTTCGTAATAATAAAAATTGTCAGTTAACACCTTTCAGTTCGATACTGTTCGAATTCAACATCGATATACACGTGGTGACAAAACCTTATGCGAATATTTTGGTAACAGATGATAAATATTTGATATCAATGGGTACCGTATTTCGGATCACATCAGCTACTGTCATGCCAGAAACAGATATTTGGATCGTGAAATTGGATCTAAGTTCAGAGGAAACTCGACAATTGAAAAAATTAGGTGATTATTATAAATGTCAAATAAGTACAAAAGCAAAAACAACCGATTCAATTGCGTACGAAGCAATGAAAACATTTGGTGATTTTTTAGTGACACTCAAGGAATACACGAAAGCAGAAATCTATTATAACAACATTTTAAAATATTTACCAACAAATTATCCACTTTTGGCTCAAATCTACAATAAAATTGGTAAAATCTATTGGTACAAAAATGATGCAAATAATTCTTTAAAATTACATTCAAAAGCGTTACAAATATGTGAAAATTCGACACCGTGTAACTATCTACTTGTTGCAAAAACATACTCTTACATTGGTCGAAGCTATTCACTCAAAAATGATAACATGATGGCACTGATTAGTCATAAGACAAGTCTGGAAATACAACAGAAATATGCAAATTATGAACACATTGATTTTGTAGAGCCTTTAAATAACATGGGTGAAATATTGACTAAAATTGGTGATTATTCAGCTGCTCTTGTTAATCTCGAAAAAGCACTTGACATATGTTTAAACGTATCACCATCCAATTATTTACTCTTATCAACAACATACAATAACATTGGATGGCTACATTTATCTGCTGGTGATTATTCAAAGGCTTTGGTCAGTTTTAATAAAATGTCAGAATATGAGTGTAATTTTTTACCAAAAAACTCATCGAGTTTTGGTACGACATATAATCTATTAGGCTATGTTCATTATCTTACTGGCGACAATACCATCGCTCTTCTCTATTACTTAAAGGCACTTGATGTGTATTCAAAATGTTATCCTTCAATGAAACATTGGTCTGTTGCTGAAGTTTATCGAAATATTGGTCAAGTCTATTTCAAACAACTCGATTACTCAAAATCTCTGGAAATGTATGATAAAGCTTTTGATATTTATCAGAAATATGGTTGGAATAGTTTTCAAGATTCTATTCAATTTTTACGTGGTTATTCTCAAATATACAATGCTAAACAACAGTTTAGAAAAGCGCTAAAATATACTAATAAGGCACTTGAAATTCAACTAGAACATGTTCCATCTGATTTTATTGCTATTTCCTCTACGTATACATCAATCGGTCAGATCTATCGTCAAATTGGAGATAATCTTAATTCGTCAGAATATTTTAAACTAGCACTTCGAACTCTATTAAAAGTTAAAAACAATATTAATATTGTTATCTTAGTACAAGCTTACTGTAATGTGGCTACAGCATTATTTAGTACTGGTGAATATGATAGTGCTCTAAGTCATTTTCAACTTGCACTCGATGTTTATACGAATGAATGTCAAGATTCTATTTCACTTTCAGATATTTATAATCTGATGGGTGTTATTAATCAGAAAAATGGTGATTATGAGTCGGCATTGAAATTGCACGAGAAAGCTCTAGAACAAGAAACTGATTCAACTAAAATTGAAGCTATATATAATGAAATTGGAACAATTTACTGTAAAATTTGTAAATATGATGAGGCACTAAACAATATTAAAAAAGGACTTGAACAGAAAGAGAAGGAAATGTCATCATCCTCATACTACCAATTAGCATTAATTTATTGTAAAACAAAAACTGGTACAATAATTTAATAAAACTTGATAAGAAACCTTTTTTGAAACATAAACAGTATGTAATAACACAGAGAAATAAGAGAATTTTTCTTTCTACTATCAAAACAAAGACACATTTATGCTTTGATTGAAAACATTGTCAAGAGTAATAGAAAATTAATATTGATATTCGTTCACGCTCCTCTGTAACAATTTATTGTATTCACATATTAAAATTAATGCGCTGTCACATATTTATTTCCATTTCAAAGAGCAGTGTGATCTATAACAATTTCGTTATACGATTGACAAGAAAATCGGCATCTAGATGATAACGTTTGTTAACCAGCATTGTCGACACATATGTGAATAACTGAAGATAGTGTTTCAATTGATGCAACAGTGGAAACTATGTTTATATATTTAAATTGAACTTATGGATGAAAGATTATTATTGTTTTAATTAACATGGTCAGGTACGAAGATCATTCCATCTTGATCTTGACTGAACAATAGAATGTAAATGATTTTCTCTGTTTGATCAATGAAGGCCTTATATATAGTATTGCACAATAAATGATACTTTTAGTACTGTTACCACATACCTTTAATTATTTATAACAAAAAAGAAGAATGGATAAAGTCAGAAAAGATCCCGGTGAAAATACACAGTGGATCCCGTATACAAAAATTCCAAGTTCAATTGATGGTAGTAATGCACGATTCGTTTGATCTCTTAGCGAATATGTGCTTCAAATGGTTGACGAAAATGTTTTCTTATTTGAATGAAGCTGTGAAATTTTTTGTGCAGCACTCTTTTTCGTTAAAAATTCGGTAACAAATATTCATAATGGTTTCTCTGCTGGTTGGTTTAGTTTATGGATTAACCAATTGACGAAAAAATGTTTGTTCATTATTCATATGTTGTTCCATGTTTAAAGAAAAGAAAAATTAGTCATCAGATGTTTAGTCTATGTGACTTTGTATTATTAATAGGAACTCAACACTGGAGATCTTAACCACTCACGACTATTTCAAAAACCGTTGATTGCCCCATTGAAAATCTTCCTCATTTGAAGGAAGTTTATATTTATTACCTGAGGGGTATCTGAATGAAATGAACATAAACAAAGAGTTGTAAGAGATTCTCTTACAACTCTTTGTTTATGTTCATTTCATTCAGATACCCCTCAGGTAATAAATATAAACTTCCTTCAAATGAGGAAGATTTTCAATGGGGCAATCAACGGTTTTTGAAATAGTGTGTCTTGTTTTGTAGTATTTACCAGTAGATATTATCTCTTAGAATTGAATTAGTTGACTACTTCTAACTCTAAAAAAGTCTAAAAAGTCTATATGCGAGAGAAAGATAAAGACAAATACGCTAGAGTTCTAATATATGATAATATTAGTATATATCCTATTATATTCTTTCGTGTTTCTATGTACGTTGTTTTTCGAATGTGATGTAGTAGAAACACCTGAATAGGTGTGTATGTATACACACGTGTATTCTATATAATAATGTCTGTAAGAAAAGAAAGAATGACCGTTATATATAGCGTAGAATCTATATTTCTTTCTCTTTATATGATTTCATCTTTTCTTAACATAGTTCGAAACTGTTTCTCATCGTTTTTTTTGCAGACTATATATGTTTTAGTTCGTTTTTCCAAAGGAATTATTCCAGAAAATGAAGTATTTTACAGGGCACAAGGTACAGCGGTTTCCGAGAAGAGGAGAGAGCGAATTAAGAGAAATAAATCTTGCGAATTTGTTCTTATTCATAGAGTTGAACTATGTCCTTCCTGGTCATATTACAGGATCTCTTTATCTTTCTAGGTTGTCTTTCTCTAATAATGCATAAGATCTAAGATATATATTTCTGTAAAGATTGAGTTAAACACAGTGATTGTTCAAGATCTGACAATAAAAATGCACATAAGTGAGAAAATGTCTCGATGTCTTCACAAATGTGAGTATCCTGGATGTAAGATCGCTTTGCTATTAGAGACTGTTTGACGCATAGAGGATTGGGGTTCAGTCATTCCGCTTCATTCACAGGATGCCAGAATAGTTCCAGCAGCGAACTGGTCCTAAAGATAATATCCTCGGGTATAGTTATTGCGCATATTCTTGCATTAAGTAACCTTGACGCTTGACAAAAAACTAAAACGGATCACAGAAAATGAGTAATTCCCGTGACTGAAAGCCCAAGGTCATGTGAACGAAATGTCCGCTACTCTGTCCACAGCAGAGTGGTGACACCTGTATTGAAGTAAATTAGCAATTCGTATTCGAGGAAAAACACATAATTACTATTTTTCTCAGCAGGGAGACATCCTAGATGTGAGAGCCCGATAGAAAAAATGCCAAATTAAATTTCACACATTTTATCTGCCGGCACCAAATTCGGATCTTCAATGACCGACTGTTAGATATGCTTTATTCAACGGTAGAGGCAAAAAAGCAATTTGCTCCAGTTTTGTGGCCAAAAAACCGAGTAGTGCGACTATAGTATTAGTGGCTCTCGTTATACCGGTACAATGGAGGCAAATCAAAAGAAAGATGGACTTTTGTTTGCAGTACTTTTGGCAATTGGCAGTTCGAATGACACCTATGTCGTGTTTCCAGTTTTTCCGTGTTTAGCCCGCAGAAACCTGTGTTTTTTTGACAATTGGACCCAATCAAAGGGAGATGTTATTGTATTTGAAGGTGATGTGTGTTTCTTGCGTTAGTCGGGTGTATCTGTGGTAGGATTGACGGTAGATGATCGGTGTGGTTGCTTCTTAAGTATGGTTTTGGTTCAGACGGCTGCGTGGATGCGACACCTAGTGTGATTCGTACTTCTTTTTTCCTAGTGTTGTTTATCGCAGCTGCATGTGATTTATGTTTTTGTCCCGGTGTTTTTTCTAGGAGTATGAAGGACATGTACTATTGCTCCGTTGCATATTTCTCGAATTTCGTATCCATGAGAGTTTTGGTTATGTTGCGTCATCTCAATGCTGGTGATTTTAGTAGTAGTTTTCCTTTCAATGGGTTTTGTTGTGCGTTTTCCAGATAAAGGCTGTTGGATTGTTTATCTCTCAAGGTTGTATCAGAGTAAATCGTTTCGTACTGGAAGAAAGAAATGCAAAAACTGGTGCCGAAGGTTTTTTGAGTGACCTTGGTCCGAATGATTAGTTTTAACTCCTATTCTCGACCGTAACTTGTCCTGGCTAGCTCTTTTTCTGCAAATTTGAAAAGCAACGTCAAAACCTTTTTAAACTATGTGGGAAAGATTGAAAGTTTATTTTCCATACTTTAATCTACAAAAAACAGCACAACTTTGCTGAAATTTAGATGTAATTAAAAGCAGCAAAACATGAACATGTAGTTGCGATAGAAAAAGTCTACAAATATCACCCATTTTGCACATCGTTAATTGTGTTCAGAAGAAGGCCAAAGCTAAATTTGATGAATTCTATGTAAGTGTTCATCATAAGACATCTGCAACCAGTTATATTCCTAAAATGGATTCCTAAATCAAAGTCTGGTCAAAGAGAAAATGTGGAGAAAGGATAGGAATTAATGGTTACATCGAAAAAAACAATGAAATCAGTTGCCTCCAAAGCTGATCTACGACGATCTAAACGCCAGTCACGATTTAGTTCACATTATTCATCCACAAGACAACAACACAGATATATGAACATTAATGGTTATAATAAAAGAACTTAACTGAAAAGATTATTTTATTCGTTATTGTAGTAAAGATTATGTAAGAAATGTTACACCGGAAAAAACAAAACAACATTATTCAACAGCTCACGTACCAACAAACATAATGTATTCACCTGATCATCTTCTCTGTTTCACATGCCAGTCGAATGCATCCATACGGTTTGTAATTGTACTTAAATTTCTGTTCAAATGTACTGTACAACATTCTTGTTTATCACAGAACTACAACAATATATAAACATTACTCATTCAAATCATCATCCAGTAAGTTGTCGTTCACATCTTATTTGAAGTCAATTAATCATAATAATATATTTTGGGTGAGTCTATTGGCACTCCCGGAAGTGTCAAAAAAGACCTGTTGGTACTTCCAGGATCTGTCAACTAGGAGCTATTGGCAACATAGAGTATCATTAAGGCCGTCATCTGACATATAAGGCCCGACGTTTCAGCCTTCCTCGAATTAAACTTTGACCCGCGTCGTCTCGGGCATCTCGCTCATCGGGGAGGGGAGAGCACAGGTGGATAGTCAGAGTAATTGAAAAAACTGAAAATCTAATACATGAAAATTCGCGTCTATCGCAATGTTACACTTCTTTGAACTTACCTGCTTGCTGCAACTATACTTGGACTGAGTGTTCAACATGACACTGCATACTGAAAATTCTCCTCTTATGATAAGTTTTTGTTATACCAATTTCTATATATTAGCTTTCCTACTTTTCAATCACTCTCACTGTCCGCCTGCCTTGCTTCCTCCGCGACGAGCGGGATGCCCATCCAAATGCGAAAATATAATCAGAACCTTGCGCGTCACACTATACTTCGAGGAACCATCAAAAAGAAAATTCAACCAGCAGGCGAAAAAAACGTTGAAAACACTGACGTTTACCTCGAATTTAAAAGAAGCCAGAATTCCTTCTACTGTAAAAGGGACTCCATCTTCTGAAGTAAATTCTTGCAAATTTCTGATTTTTCTCTAGATGTCCTCTCTGTCATCTACGTGTCAATTGAACTCTTCATACTGTTCTAATTCAATCTATTCTAAAT